ACCAAAACAGCTCTCCAAGCAGTTATTGGTAACCTCAATGTTTCTGAGTCTGTACTTCGAACATCACTTATCGAAGTAGAAGCTGTGCTGAATAGCCGTCCTTTGACGCATAACAGTTCCGATCCTAATGACTTTACAGCTCTCACGCCAAATCATTTCTTGATCGGAAGAGCAGAAACAACCTTCTCACCAGCTGTTGTACACGACAAAGAAATCAACAGCAGAAAACGCTGGAAACAAGTACAGGTGCTTGCTAACCATGTATCAAAGCGTTTCCTTAAGGAATACCTACCAAATCTTACCTTACGCCATCGATGGACAAAGGAAAAACCAAACCTACATGTTAATGATTTGGTTCTTATGGTCGAAGACAACCAACCTCGTGGTAGTTGGCCACTTGGTCGTATCACCGCTGTTTACCCAGGAGAGGATGGTCGTATACGAACTGTGAAAGTCGGAACAGCCCACGGAATTTACATCCGTCCCGCTGCAAAGATCTGTTTGTTAGAAGAAAACATCTAAAGACTCTAATTCTCTGATACTTCAAAGAACATTTGAATATCAAATATTTCCTTAATCTTAATTAATCTTTATAGTCCTATTTCAGTTTAACTACTTGTTTGACTCTGTCAGGGGGGTGGCGATGTTCGTGTTTACTCTCTTTAAGGCCTTGTAGCTTATTGATTATCGCTGTGGTCTTGATCCACAAATTATCCACAGTTTATCTCCCTTTTAGTATTACAACTTCCGGTGCTTTTCTAGAAAACTTCCTCGTGTAAAAATCATAAACAAACTGAACTAAACAGTAAAGGTGAACTTTCTTACATGAATTCACCGAGAAAAACAAATTAAACAAGGACAATTATGATGTGAAGGACACAGTATTTATTTATGCCAGTGACAATACCTGCATTATTATGTTCAGTGAATTTCATATCCATAATTACTTTTTTAGTGTATTTCTCTAAATGTGTAAACTGTGTTGTGTACTTACTAGTGTAGAACTAATTTGAACAAAATTAAACTATACGTCTTGAAATCCCGCTTTTCTCTCACGAATAGACTGTGTACAGACTCTAAACCTTCTCGTAATGTGGAATTGTGATAAATTAATCACTAATGTGTCAACATACTATTCACAAAAAAAGTGATCTGATCCATTTAGTAAGTAGTTTTCTAGAATGATTTGATTAAAGTGCCTCTCTGATTTTGAAATCGTACTGACGTATTTTTGCTGTTTAGTATACACGTATATCCAATAAATGTGTAAATTTAATTAATAGAGTTGACTACGGGATCAAATTTTTACATTTCTAATTTTTCTTCGTTTTGCTGATTTGGGGATCCGCGTTAACATTGACTATTTGTTTTGATGGACATTACCAACTGCTGTTATTCACTGGAATGATATAGAAGACAAAGGGGTTGCAGTTATCAGTAATTTGGGAAATCTGAATTAAAACCAGAAAATAAACAATATATAGCAGCTGTAAAAACAAGTTTGATTCACAAAATTGAAAGATTCCAGAATTTCCATAAGTTAGCAGTTAACACTTTTATTCGGATAACCCCTTTTATAAATCACATAGGTAAATAAATTTCAATCAACTTGAAAAATGAATTGGGTGTTTCTAGAAGCATGTTAACTACAGGTATTTAACTATTTACGTTTGGTCTATCCAAATATGAAAAAATATTAATTTGTACATCAACTAAAAATCAAGCTCCTGCTGTAAGAGAAGAAAGTATGTATGTATAAAGTTCGTAATTTTTATTTGATTTATTTATGGTGCATTTTTATATATTTTTAGACGTTTTCTGTTACATTCCTTTTTGAATTATTTTTGTTTTCGTGTTGACGTCACATTTATTTCTTATGGTTTCCCTGCGTTATAAGATAAATTTTGATCTTTTGTTCGTGTTTTTATATGTTTTGTATTCACGCAATAGTGCAGCTTTCCATGCTCTTTGTTTATTTGGCGCTTTTTTGTGCGATAAAATACGTACACTGAACAATCAAAGAAAAGCATCATGTTGATGTCGTGTGTAAGACTTTTGCTAGAATATTTGCTCCTATAATAAATGATGGCATTATATCGTATTAATTTTATAATTCTACAGATGTTGGTATGGTTATTGTAAATCTTAAAGAAAGGGACGAATGTAAGACTTTAGCTAGAATTTTTGCTCTTATAAAGGCATTATATTGTATTAATTAATATCTCTGGCAAATTAGTAGATTCACATATTTGTACTTAAATCAAGTTAGCGAATGAGTGACTAATGGATACATAAAAAAAAGAGTTATAATTTGGTAAACATTAGCAGGTTCTGTGGGAATAAGAATATCATGTATTACATGTGATTGGAAATTTACCTATTGCATCATTTGGTTTAAGGGACCAATTATATCAGTAATTGCACGGGTTCAGGGTCATGAATAGACTATAGTCTGTGCGTGATGTCCATGGGTCCTATAAAAGAAAGCATGACAAACTTTTAAGTCCGATATCATTAGATTCCGGAGTGATTACCATCTAAGTTCATAGACAGCAGCTTGATTCCAGAAGGGAAAAGATGTAGCAATTTCTATCAGCAGGCTCGCCCATCGAGTCTGGCTGGCTAGTGTTTGAGAATGACTTTAGTGTTGTAATCTATAGTATGCTTGTACCCATGTATCCGGCTATGATACATAAAATGTAAAAACGAACTGTTACATTGTTATTCCTGGAAAGACAAACGTCTTAACTAACTGAGATGGACAAGAAGAGGTAAATACACAACGTGAAGTGGAAGCAATTAAAGACGACAGTTGAAAATACTAGACGATCACAGCCTACTAAGATATGTAGTAAGAAAAGATGCATGGGTCGAACATAGAGTGTGGCGACCGGATTTGATGGCTCGCTCTCCGCGTCTGACAGAAGGCCCATGGTGCTACACGTGTGTATTTCCAACTGCCAACCAAGATATTCTTGGTATGCGCCCAATATACCGTGGTTAGTTCTATAACTTTGTAAGATTATGAAGTCGATGGATGATTAAAAAAATCTTTGGGTATTGTACACCCTGTCCTTACATTTTCTACAGAAACACTCAGTTGCATTGAACTGACTTTTGGTAATTCATGTGAAAATTATCGGTTTGGTTTGAGTGGTGGCCAGAGGTTTGGCGATGCCCGCGTGCCTTTCTTGATTGCATGCCCCCTAGACTCAAATATTGAGCCTAATACTGAGAAAGGCGAGAAAGCAAATTATTTTAGAAATACCAGAAAATAAACGTTTTATTCAAATAAAGTCGGGAAGCTTGTATAACAAAATTAACAGCGATAATTTCAAAAATAAAACTAATTTCACTCTGTGAATTGATACCCCTCTGAAATGGATGCATAGGGCCTCCACCCACTTTCTGCTTTTTTCTTTTTTTTTAGTTTGTGTAATGCGTTAGAATTAATAAATCTGGACTTTTTGTAAAAAGTGCGACGTTTCTTTTGGAGTGGATGATATTACTATTATTAAATATAAGTAAACTGTTGTGCTGTATTTACTGTTTACAGATAATTTAAAGTAACTAAGTCTCTAACACAATATCATCCAAGTTCTTCGACATTGAAAACACGAATTATTTGTCAATTTAAATCAACATTTACGTTGTTATCTTACCCAGAAAAGATGGGCTTCTTATATCCAATATTTAAGACGAATCGTGTACCATAATGCGTTTCAGTGCCGTTTGTAACCAGTGATTACGTTTCTAGTGTAAGGAAAGATTTGTAATATAAGAATCTTCAATGAAAAAAATGGAATTAAACAGTTAATAGAAGGTTTAATGGATCCATGTGATTTAAAGCGTCGACACATGGATCCAAAATTTTCACAGTCTACAACAGAATACAATACAGAACAGCTGTATTCATCCGCAAAAAAAATAGTACCTAACATTCATGTACATTATATAGGTTTAAACGTCAAATGAGGTCAAATGAATAGAGACGTCTTTAATATATACTAAATATTCGTATCATCCCAAATCGACAATAAAACAGTGAGAAAAAGGAAAATCTAAGTAATGGCAATCTAATTAACATAAAATTTACGACATAATGGATTCTTCAATGTTTTGATGGTGATCATGAAGAAAATAGGCCTACATCTGTTCTCAGGAATCCGATAAGATTTTCAAAAAAAAGATCAGTAGAATTATAGATTGTTATTCCACAAAGTCGAAAGGTATGTTAGATTTTTCATTCAGTCAAGTTAGAGCGAGTTTATTGCCGTACTTTGAGCTCCAAACCCGATAGAAATGAAGGCGGAAGTGGCCATAATAGTTTTAGAGATCACTACGTGATGGCGCTCCTGCGTCGCGACAAACGGGGCCGATTTGTCAAGGGACTCTAAGAACGAGACTAGACATATTCCGCAAGTCGTGCCAAACGGTGACGTCATATTCTTATCTGGAGAGCATGCGCAATAAATAGGCCCTACTATCGGTGTAGAGTGGAATAACCAGACGCTAGAGATGACCATTCGATTGAGACTTCTGGCATAGCTAGGCCTATTTCGCCGAACAGAAACGATTTTAAATTAGAGTAAAAACGGAAACGATTGAATGTAAATCAGTTCATATACATTCATATTACATTATTATATGCGTTGCGACCCATTTGTGTCAATTTCTAAGTCCCGAAAATTAGCGATTTAGCTCCTATAATGTTTCGCAATATACATATTTTTAGTAACTTAGCCTATACAACTATTAGGCTATTGAATATATAAGCAAACTGTTGTGCTGTATTTACCGTTTACAAATAATTTAATCTTTCGCAATATTTGTGTATATTTTTAGCAACTTAGCCAATACTATTGATTAAGATATACGCGGACTGTGTATCAGCCAATAAAAGCCTGTGATATTGCGACATACTTTTCTATGACGGTATAAAACTGATTTTGGGGCGCGCACGTGTTCATTCAACGATTTGATTATAAAGAAAAACTACAAATTACGCCTATAATTTCAGATGAGCGATTATTTGAAAACAAGTCAAAGAATCGGCCTAAACTCCAAGACATCCCAGTCACAGGAGGGAAATCACGAAATAAGTGACTTCAAGCCGTCTTCTGGCCAACTAAAGGGAAACAACTCCAAAACTAGCTACAACGATCAAGAAAATGGCCCATTTACCAATGACGAGTAAGTATATAATGCATAATTTGCTATTTATCTCCTCGTATCCGGATTGGTTTTTTTTTTTTTAATTCAGATATACTCGAATTTCTTTTCGTAACTTCTTGCGTAACACTGTACAGAACAGGTTTAGTTGGTGTTTTTTCCCCCAAGAAATTGAACTGAAATGATAGGCTAATGTGAAAGTAGGCGCTTTTCTATTTTTATTTATTTATTGTTATTTTTCAATAATCAAGGGGAAAAAAGGAAACATATTTTTAAATTTTTATTGTAATTTAGCTTATAAACATTCAGAAAAAAAGCGTCGCCGATAGGGAATGTCTGTACTTGGCATGACGTCATGAAAATGGCACGCCTATTCACGATCTTATGAGATGTCAGTCCGAGTGGAGGAGTAACATAGTTCGAAAAAAAACCTATTATTTTACAAAAACCACCCCTTCCTAACAAAGACTATGACATCGAATAACATCTATGTACTATAATAAACCAAATTTTAGTCACAACTATAATTTGTTTGTCCAGAGAAACCGAGTCGAAATCGCTTCCGCCCAGTAATTCGATATCGAGGTCGGTCCTTTCACAGCGTAGCGAAGAAAGAGAGCATGTCAGTAAACTCAGATGAAAATCACCGGTAAGAATTATATCATTCACACAAGTTGGAGATTCTGTAAACTTGGGGAAGGTATAGCCTGAAGGTCTAAGAACGGAACTAACCGATCTTGTGAATCCCAAGTTCCACGAATTCTTTTAAACCCAACTTCAAATTTGGATCTTTTCCCCATGTGAGTTACTAAAAATGGCGGACATGTAAGCACGTGTGTCTGGTGTGAACAATGTGAGCATATGTCACATTCTGAAAAAAAAACCAACATAAGTCGAGAAAGATTGTTTAACAATTAATTGTGATTTTTATGAGTAAACAATCCCATGGAAATTTTTCATTGAACAATCTCGCCAACTTGATCGAAAAATGGTGGGACGATTGAATTGGTTTTTGACATTCACATAGCCTAAATGATTAAACTGCTAGCCTATTAGAATTTGACTGGGTGTTTTTCGGTTCAAGGCCTTCGATACTTTGTTTGGCATCAAAATATCTCAAATAATTCCCCAACCTCCCACAATTAAATACTTTTCCAGAAAAAAAGTTATGTTGGGATACCAAAAGTACACCAGGTCTGATGTTATAAATTTTTAATTAGTGCTAGAAATTCACCATCCATGTAGGCTAATTGATGGTAGGCCTAGTTTAAAGTTTATATGAATGTTTCTACTACAGTGAATTTTTTTTCTCTCATAGGTCTCAGACAACGGGGCCACCACCCACCAAAGACGGCCAAAATGAGTACTACCCAGATGCAAATGAAGTTATTGAGGTATGGTCATTTACTGAGAATTGATGCAAGAATCTGGACTCTGTTTCACAAAAACTTAAAGGCTCAATACCACTCTTGTTGTAACTGAATAATATGTCCCAATCTTTATTCTGGTCAACAAATTGTACTATTTTAGAATATTTCAATTAATTGATGGTGCAAATTTTCATCTTAACACACCTTATTTAAAAATTTTGAAAAATTCGACATAATGGTTTGAAACGCCTAACGTAAACCTTTTCAAATGAAACTTCGATTTAAAAATATTTTCGAGCCCTCTGGACAAGTAAAATAGGATGTAATGGATAATTTCAACAACAGGTAGGACACTTAAACATCTAGTACTTAGATAGAGATATTATTTATTTACTGGAGCTTTCAAGCCAGCAAGAGTGTTATTGTCCCTTTAAGCTAAAATCACTAAAATGGATTTTAATTAAAATTAAATTTTATGCGTTTCATGAAGATCGATTGCAACTTCAAATGCAATTCTAATAGATTTGCGTCCACGTGGTGCACATTTTCGGTGAGGGCACTTGGGTTAGGGTGTGAGGAAATGTGCCTTGCAAGTGAACACTGTTGACAGGTTGGACAAACCGTTGCAATATCAATGGGGAGAGTTTCATACATAGCAATGTTTGCATATGGTAGGGTGTCCCACAATAATTATCTCTAAATATCTCGACAATTACACCACATTATTTATATTTTTATATACCAAGCCTTAAATCAGTTTCACTACATAAACAGTCACGTTGTACTTAAAGATACATTATGGCAGATTAGATAAAAGCGAGAAGGCCTTCACTTCAAACTGAATGTTAAAAGTAAACACAGTTTGCTTCATTATCAGGTCTCTTGCCGTCCAAGCCACCTGCAGATATTAAAATTGAAACCTTTGGAAATGAAACCTGTAATACAAATTTTTCTAGGAATAAATACCATGAGACAAAATTCTCGACTGAAAATGCCAGCAAAACAATATAATTCGAGGTGATATCTATGATATTAAGAGCATTGACAATGTAGAGAATCCATGGAAATTGAGTTAAGAGAAGGGAGGTGGGTGGAAAAGCGGTGGGCCATTTCATTAGGAAATTACGTCAAACGGAAAAAGGCTACAGCAATGTATGTTTTAGGAAATTAACTAGGGAAGTCTGGGTGGAAGGTTTGTCTTGTTTTGTTGCTTTTTTTTCTTTGACTTCACTGGCATTTGATGTACCACTTGAGTATACTGCGACTCCAAATTTGACCAAATGGTGGCTCCAGAATACACAATTGCAAGTTCAATTGTACAAAATTTTTCGGGTGATCATGCCGCCGGACCCCCAAGTGTTTCAAAGATATTATTTGTACTAAACCAATAACAAATTGTTTTATAGTATTTTATTAACCTGGTCACTCAATTAACAAAGTCTCAAAAGGAAACAAGGCTGTTTAATGGAATAATATCAAAATAGACAGGATAGTAAAATTATCACTTGAGTGCGATGCTGTGCGCTGATGGGGTCAAAGTTGATTACAGACGGGTTACTGGCACGATACAGCATGGCTGTTCAAATATGTCACGGTAATGTCGGTTGAGGTCGAATTTCACAAACTTCAGACCAAAACTACTGGATAAAATGACCACCCCTTGTGTTCAAATAGTGTAAAAAATATGGTATATCAAGGTTGTGGACCCTCTAAGAGGTGACAATTTTGATCCGATTTCGATGGAACTTGAAATGCATGTTTATAACCCAAATGTCTTTTTCCTGTCAATATTCTTGCATATCGGATGGTAACTTCTTGAATTATGGCCCTTGATTGTACGAAAATTGTGTTTTATGTTATGGTCCCTCTAATAGTAAGTGCAAGAGGACCGCACTACACGCAAAACAAAAATCTACAAGATAAACCGGTGGACAGGACATTTATAGACATTGCACCAAATATCAAATCAAGTGAATGGATGAGGTCACAATTATTATCCGATTTCAGTGACCGCCCTAGACTCTTAAAACCTTTAGCCATATCAAAATTTTATTATGAAACGAAGTCTAGAGGGTAAAGATCCGATTGACTTTAAATTTATACACAGTGTTTAAGGTCATGAGGCGAAGAAGCGTATTGTTTTTAAGCGATTTCCGATGGCCTTCGATCACTTCAAAATTAGCATGGCGCAGAACTTTATAAAAACCAAACCAATTCTATTGATTTTCTTATAATTACTTAATTAGTTGTTACTCTTAATCAGATTTTAGTGAATTATAAATGTTTCATTACCGAAAAAAGTAAAAATATGCGACAACTCTTGTTGACTCCCCGGACGATTTAGCTGCTGTGGGCGTATGTTTCGTTGCCTTGCAACCAATCTTTTTTAGTGTGATTAAAGCATTTATATTTAATTTACTAATTGCAGAGTAACTGGGACACAGTTGTCGAGTCATTTGATGAAATGGGCCTCCGAGAAGAACTCTTGAGAGGAATCTACGCCTATGGTTTTGAAAAACCTTCAGCTATCCAACAAAGAGCTATTATTCCCTGTATAAAGGGTAAGTTTCCTCTGTCAATGATTTTGCTTGTAACATAAATCTTGATATTTCATTGTAAAATTGATTACTGGCCCCCCGAGTTCACAAAGTATTCTTGAGAATTCACCCAACTTTCAAACAGTCTCATACAACAACTGTTGGTCTTCAAAGGAATTATTAGTGAGCAGAAATTCGGCCGTATATCTATAACTCGTCGCTTCAGTCAGTTATATTGAGCGGTGACTCGTGTTTTTCTTTGGCGTTCGTCACTCTTGATATGGGGAAACCTGTATTAATCAGCTATCGTAGCAATGATCTCTGTGTTAAAAGTATATTTGGAATGTGTTTAACCAGCTCTAACACATGTGATAATGACTGGCACCAATATTGTCCTTTAAGTCTGAGAAAGCTTTGTGAACCCGCGAGCCGGATGTGTTTGACTGTTTCGGACACTGTTTTCTAATTTCACTCATTTTATTTTTTCTCAGGACATGATGTTATTGCCCAGGCTCAGTCTGGCACAGGCAAAACAGCCACATTCTCTATAGCTATATTAGAAAAGCTAGAACTTAAAGATGTAAATATTCAAGCTCTTGTATTAGCTCCTACCAGAGAATTGGCTCAGCAGGTAATTAATATGAAATTACTGTGCAAATATTTATATTGAATTGAAGGTTCAAATAGAATTCGAATAATGAGTTAAAATATTTGAATAGAAAAATAATAATGGAAATGACCATGATATATCTTCATAACTGTATTTAATTTTTTTTAGATCCAGAAAGTGGTTCTTGCTCTGGGTGATTATATGGGTGCTCAATGCCATGCTTGCATTGGAGGTACTAATGTCAGAGACGATCAGCGTCGATTGGAAAATGGTGTCCATGTTGTAGTTGGTACACCCGGTCGTGTTAACGACATGATACAGAGGAAGTCCATGAGTAAGTAGTCTCCATCTTAGGTGTAACCCAGAGTAACTGGCTTTTTACTAGCATCAACAAATTTCCGTCCCCAAAACTAGCTATTTGAATATGCGTTATCTTGGATGAAAATTATGTAAAATTCAATCAGTTTTGATGCACAAATCTCCAATGTGAGTTCTGTAGCAAGACTACACAATACTATTTTAACCAGTCGACTCTTCTAACTTAATTCAAAATCATATGAAAACCAGTATATGGAATTTTTTTCAAAAATGCTTTCTTAGTACATTTGTTATCCATCTATTATTTTGTTTATATTATTATAGGAACGAATGAAATTAAATTGTTTGTACTAGATGAAGCTGATGAAATGTTATCCAGAGGTTTTAAAGATCAGATTTATGATGTTTTTAGGAAAATGCCTACTGAAATTCAGGTATTTGAGTTATAGTTAACACTTTACACTGTAACCCAGGTGTCTTAAACATACATTATGCAAGAGCTTAATCTGTCAATTTCTGGTCTTCGGGCCTGACGTGTTATATAAACTATTAAGTAGACATTAAATAACCTACCCAAACCAAAATGGGGGGGGGGGGCTGAATGGTTAGCACATGCACACTGTATCAAAAGATCTGTTTTTGAGTCTGCTGGCATGGTTTCAAATCCCTGGTTGTGCGTGACAAGGAGTAGGGTCGTCTGACCATCCTCATGGGTTTTCTCTGGGTCCTCCGGTTTCTTCCCACTGCTTAAGACCCTTTGCTCAGCGCTCATTGATGACTAAATCCAAAAATGGATAATTGATAACCGGTTTTTCGATATTTTTAAAGAAGTCCAATATGATAAAATCGTTGATGATTTTATCGCGATATACCGTGATATTGAGGTATATTGCACAACTGTAGTTCAGTGTTATAAGTAATTACATTTTGTAGAGCTTAGTATAATTGACCCTTTCTTAATTAAGCACCACCTTGTCATGTCCACTGATTGTCGAAGGTCGCAAATGAAAGGAAAATCAATGGAAATCTAGGGTGTGGTGAAAACTTGAATAAGTTTTACCTCGATAGATTTACAACAGAAGAGCAACTTTTTGAAGAAGGAAATGGGTCTTTTGACAGTTTCTTTGAATGTTATTAGATTTGTTTTGTTTGTTTAGGTTATCTTGTTATCTGCTACAATGCCTACTGATGTACTGGAGGTGACGGATAAATTCATGAGGAAACCTATCCGTATTCTGGTCAAGAAAGAGGAATTGACCCTTGAGGGTATTCGTCAGTTTTATATTTCAGTGGAAATGGAGGTATGTAAATACAGATGATAAATATATGTTTCTGGTTCTTCCTGAAAGCGCCACACTGTGTTCTCTACTAGAGGTGGTCGTCATTGGAAGTATATTATTAGAATTATCTAGACATTGTATAGTAATTGAATTGGTTACTATCTCTTGGATTCTGCTACAAATTGTTGTCTTATATAAAGTATGTATTCCGATTCTTAGATACTGCCACATGTAACCTACAAAATAAATTGCACTGGAAATCGCTGATCCATCTGCTTAATATATAAACGTCGGTGAAGTCCCAATCTTTCATGGTTGATGATTTTCCTTCAAACTACATATATATAGTTAGGAGATGGAAAGTAATTTTATAATGAAGATGGAAGGGGCATCATTCACTTAAAAACTACAAAACCTGGGTTGGGTTCGGCGAATGGAATTATATCGTACATGTACCTTTCCATATTCTTTAGTTTCCCTCAATGACTAAAAGACGAGCACATAATCAAATTATTGAAATTAAAATGTTGGAACCACATTACTCGATTTCAGTAATGGAAATTACAGTGGTTGATATTTATCCAAGTTATTTCAGATCAACAGAACATGTCTCTTAAAAAAACTATTAAGAGAAATTATTTTATTGGATTGTCTGTGCTTTGATTATTTTTTTTTTCTAGCCCATAGGTAAAAGTTGCACCTTGTATAATTAGTTCTCTTTGGAAGCAGATCCTTTTAAATTCAGACTTAACATACACAGTCAAGTTTTTAGATTCAGACTGAACATACAGATTAAATATAGCCGTTGCTTTAGTAGTCTTCCTGAAAGCGCCACACTGTGTACTCTACTAGAGGTGGTCGTCATTGGAAGTATATTATAAGAATTATCTAGACATTGTATAGTAATTGAATTAGTTACTATATCTCTTTGATTCTACTACAAATTGATATCTTAATGGTTTTCAAGTGAAGGCTGTCAAATCCTTATATTCATATCAAGTATTAACCAGTAATATGTTGGGGTTTTTTAAGGAATGGAAATTGGATACATTATGTGATCTGTATGAGACACTCACTATTACCCAGGCTGTTATTTTCTGTAATACAAGGAGGAAGGTAGATTGGTTGACTGAGAAAATGACCCACAGAGATTTTACTGTATCTGCCATGGTAAGTTGTTGCTGGTGTTCACATAAATTAAACATATTGAGTAAAAAAACGTTAACAACAATTTAGGGATAAATCTGTTGAAAATTTATGAATGACTTATTTTCAAGGATCGTATTGATTTTGGATATTTTTGTTACAGCACGGAGACATGGATCAGAAAGAACGTGATATAATTATGAAGGAATTCCGATCGGGATCCAGTCGTGTTTTGATCACAACTGATTTATTAGCCCGAGGAATTGATGTACAACAAGTTTCACTTGTTATCAATTATGATCTTCCAGCCAATAGGGAGAACTACATTCATAGGTAGGCTCAAATATATTTTATAAATCAACATCTTTATTCAATTAGATTACTAATTTACATATACCCTTCTAAAATAAAGCACCGCCTTGTGATTTTTAATAGATTGTCGAAGGCCGCAAATAGAAGGAAAATTGATGCAAAACTAGGGTGAGATACAATTCAGGAGATTGATGTCTCAATAGTTTTGCTACAAATGGAAGTTCATTAATGTTGGGTATAGAAGTAGTGTTGAATTGGCATATCAAGTTTAAATTCATTTGATTTTTTTTATTTTCAGAATTGGACGAGGAGGTCGATTTGGAAGAAAAGGTGTTGCTATAAACTTTGTCACTCGTGATGATAACCGTGTTTTACGCGACATTGAATCATTCTACAATACTACTATTGAAGAGATGCCTATGAATGTTGCTGACCTACTTTAATGCTATTGTTGTTAGTGTGGAAAATTCTGGAATATCAGTCATTTTTTTTAAAATATCGAGGCGATTAATATTCAAGGCTATTTTGACAACAGTTGACTCTGCGATATATTTGCTGGTGTTTTTAACACACAATCAAAGTTAATACATAGCGATTAATGTCTTTATCATTATTTTGAACAAGTGTATTTTTAAAATATTTAATATTTGTAAAAACTCATTGTTATTATTAATCTTTTCATGTATTTAGTTCTGTGCTACTTTTTGGAGAAGTTTGAAGACATCTCATAGTGCTGTGCAAGCATCTGAAGTGTTGATCCCAATATATTATATAACAATTTTGATCATTGCTGTATGATACTCTGTAGCTTGTACAATTTAAGTGTCGTTTTCTATTATTTTTTTTTGAAAAAAAATACCATGTGCAAAAAGAAATTCAGTCGGCTCTCTGAGCATGGGGAAAACCCAGTTAAATCTGGGTTAGTTGACTTTTCTCCTATAACAAAATTAAATAGATGTATTAAAATAAATATGTATTATCTCAGTGCTGTGTTCCTCAATTTTACACTATTGTGTGTGCATGGAATTTACTGTGTATATGGGTTATAATTGTGATTGTGAAGCTATTTTGGTAGAATTTTGCCCATGAGATTTTGTTTCTGGTGGTGAAATTCAGATAGATTAATTTGGAGATCGCGTTCATTCCAACTAAAGGTGAAAAGGTATTAAAATGGTAATCTAGACAAATTGAATAAATGTGAAACCCGATTACATTTATAACTGTAAAGGATCCCTATAACTCGTATCCGCAGGTAGTTTTCTGAACCTAATGGCCAACAGCTGAAAGCATTATCCAATGACCAAAATTATTCTATGGCTCATTTGAGAGGGCTTAGTTGTAGAAAGCACACGTACGACGACAATTCATACACAGGCAATCAGACTTTTGTGTACATGTAGTCTTGATGCAAAGGGACCCCAGTGAAACGACCATGAGAGATTTAACAATTTTTGCTATGTTAAAATAAGAATAATGCAAACCAAGTAATATTACTCCCAAATAACTTAAATATTGATATCAATTGTGTTTCAACAAGAACCAAAACTATAATATTCTTTTACTAACTATTCATATCCACATTAAATTGGCGTGAAAGTGCATTACTTACGAATTTTGTAAATATACCAATTTTGTTTTGCCCAGTAGTCCTGCTGGACTAGACATGTAGGTCTAGATCTTACAGGGGGGGGGGGGAGAGATTTTATATATCGAAGTGGTAATATGTTCGTGTACGTTTTGGTACAGTATACAGAACTATACAAAGCAATTTATCAATGTATTTTGAACTGTCATTTCCCTAAGTCAATTTATGAAGGAAAAAAAAGGGGCCTCCCCCCATACAAAAAAAAATTGCAAGAAATGGTTTTTGGTAGCGTTGGGTGTACTGAATGATATCCTAAAAGTTTACCTAAATTGGAGCACTGGAAAGTCACAAATATTAAGGGTAAAAGTTAGGTGTTTAAGCCATTTTCCATTAAAAGGTATAACTTCGGATAAACAGTCAATTTTTGGGAGAAACGCATGAAATTGACACCATGCATTGGGTTGTCGGGGTGAAACTTTTATATGGCATGGTTTTCATAGGTGTCTGGTGCTCTTGAGCCATTTTCAGTATTTGATTGCCCCAAATCCAAATGTATTAAGGGGCATAACTCGGCTCTACGTCATCACTTGCTGGCATATATTTGGTTTGTACATGTTTGGAGTCCCTACCCCCCAAAACATTGCCTATATAGTTGCGGGAAAGCACTTTTATACGAGTTGACATAAAGTTCATGCCATTATGACTTGTTATTGATTTTGTTATTAATTTTTTATGAACCTTGGGGCCAGTGGCTGAAGGGAGGGGGGGGGGCAAATTTGAGTCAATATCCTGGCTTTTGAGATCATTGCTGGTAGCAAATTCTTGTGAATGAGAGGATCAGAAATGGCAATCAATTGGACAGAATCACTGGATCTGCCTGTCAATTCCACTTGCTTTGTGAGAGTTGACAGAATAGTAGTACAGTCTGTCGCCCCACCACTATAGTGGTACTTCTAACTGGGCGGTTCACTATAACCGTGAATATGATAGTGATGAGAGAGAAATGGGTTTAATGTCCACTCGACACAAACTAGGTCATTTTGGGACTAACATATGGTTTTTAATTTTATTTCAATAATTTGCTTGCGCATAGGGGTCTTTAGCAGTGGGAGGAAACCCATGAGGTTGGACAGGCGACCCTACTCCTTGTCACGTACAACCAGGGATTCGAAACCACGCCTGTCGACTCAATGACAGACTTTATGATACAGCGCGCACACGCTAACCATACAGCCATCCAACCCCCCTAGATAGTAGGAGACTTCAGGGGAGTGGAAAATGCCATAACAGAATTGAACACCCTATAGTCACGAAAAAAATATCAGATAGCAACGCATAATATACGGTATAATATAAGAGCTTTTATTTATTTGGGGGTTGGCTTGAACATTTTAGTCAATTCCTTGGCATTTGAGTTCAATGAATGGAACAAATGCTTGTGAACGAGAGGATAAGAAATGGGACACCTGTTTTGTGAGAGTTGACAGAACCTTTATAACTAACACTATAGGGACCGGGTATCATTCAGATTTGATGAAAAAAGGAAAGAAACTGAGCACAAACTGGGCGGTTTTTGATGAATCTTGATGGTATTTAATACTTTCTGCATGGCAATCTATTAACTGAATATGTGTATTAGATTATAAATGGTAAGCTCAGTTTCTTTCCTTTTTTCATCAAATCTGAATGATACCCGGTCCCTAGTGAACTGGGGGATTCACTATAACGGTAAATATGATAGTGATAAGATATATAGGCTTGTACATTACACAATGATTTCTTTGGGTTGTATTCCTGCTTGTTTCAAATTTGAGTGAAGTCTGTGTCACTACAGGCCCAGGACTGTACAGCGTATTTTCCATCTATTGACCTGACTATTGATCAATAACTGTACCGTACCGTTAGGAGCGACATCTTTTGGTTTAGTACAAATAATATCTCTGAAACACTCGGGTTTGGCAAGAACATGATGCTAGCAGTAGTTTCATTTTACTTTTACAAGGTTCTCAAAACAATTGTTGAGTTGCCTAACGTGTGTGTTTCTAAATTCTATTTCTTGTTCCAACTTTCTGTTATGTTTCATAAAAAAAGTAGTCTTGATTATCCCAGCCTGTCAATCAGACGTAGTAGAATGGTCGGTAAACTGGTTAAGCGAGACTATAATTTCAAAACAAGGTCATGTAACCTATTTTTTACTCACAAGTGCCGGATGTTATGGCCGACACTCGTTACCATTTTTCAGTGTATTATTTATGGATGGTTAAGTGGTCATAGCTTATTAAGTACAACATGACCGTTTATTTAGTGACTATAAATGTGCGTAACTGATTTAAGGCTTGGTATATATGTATATAAATATTGTTGTGTAATTGTCGAGATTTATTGGAGATATTTATTTAAGGTGGGCCACCCTATCTATAGGTATTTTTCCCCCGCCTTTCGAAGAAAGCAGGGGACTATTAAAATGGGTTCGTCCGTCTGTCTGTCCGTCCGCCCGTCTGTCTGTCACACTTTTTGGGACACAATAACTCTCTTTCTAATTGAGCTAGAATGTTCAAACTTGGTGTATGTGTTTATTAGGTATGCCTTGATGGAGTTCGAAGATGAACATTTTCTGCTTAGGGTAAGCAGAGATGAGCAATTTGATTGGTTGATGCTTTGGGATACGATAACTTTAGTTCTAATTAAGTGAGAGTGATGAAACTTGGTGTATAGTTTCATTACATCAATACCTTGACTAAATTCGATAATGAGCATTTTCTGCTCAGGGTAAGCAGAGCGATAAGCTATTTGATTGGCTGAGACTTTGGAACACAATAACTCTCCTTCTAATTGAGGTAGGATGTTCAAACTTGGTGTAGTGTTCGTTCAGCAGATCAGTGCCTTGATGGAGATTGATGATAAACATTGTATGCTTAGGGTAAGCAGAGATAAGCAATCAGATTGGTTGATGCTTTGGGGCACGATAACTATTGTTATGATTAAGTGAGAGTGATGATGAGAATTTTCTGCTTAGGCTAAGGAGCGATAAACAATTTGATTGGTCAAAACTTTAAAACATAACAACTTTGTTTTTAATTGAGGTAGAATCTTTAAACTTAATGTAGATGTTCATTAGGTGAACGTCTTGACTGAGTTTAATGATTAACATTTCGAGCCAAAGCTAAATAAAGATAAGCAATTTCATTGGTCGATGCTTTGGGAAAAGATAACTTTGATTCGATCTGATAGAGAGTGATGAAACTTATAGTGTATAGTTGCTAATCAGTTTGATTGCTTGATACTTTTGAAAAAAAATAAAAATAAATGTGCAATTATTAATATGTGTCATCTACTTATTTTGGGATTTCGGTGGCGGACATCAGCCTCACTGTTGGCTTGTTTATTAAATTAAAACAATCAATGAAAATCTAAATTGCAATCTTAGAAGAAATATTTATCCGTTTCTCGCTTGCTTCAACAGTAATAAATATATCAATATTATAAATATAACAGGCCTGCACCGGTTGAATATTTCATCATCCGATTTACACTCTTGCCGATCTTATTATTTAATGTTATTCTGATTTTAATTTTCTGAATACTTATTAATATCTACTAAATGCAATGGGTATGATTCCACGCTGAAGCTGATACAGGTGTGGCTAATCCCACATGGGTAACATATTGGACCCAGATGTATTATTTTATATGTGGTAGATGCCATATAGATAAGATATTGGCCCCAGATACACATGTGGGTAATCCCATATGGATACCATATTGAACCCATATACATAATATACATGAATGTGGTTATATCATATCCATACCACACAGGCTTCTGGTGCACATATGCGTAATCCTTTCTGTGCACATTGGTTCACAAAACTAAAAGTTATATTCAATAATGAACTTATACATACAAATAAGTAATACCATATGGATACCATATTGGCCCCAGATATACGAAAGTTATATGTGATCCCATACAGATACCATATTATCCCCAGATACACACATGGGTAATCCCATATAGACCCCATATTGGCCCCAGATACACACACTATAAGGTCAGATTATCAATGTAAGAAAGAAGTAAGCATTATATCATTTGGCTGATCTCTGTGATATTAATATATACACAACTAAAAGTATGGATTCAATAATGAACTTATACATAGACTAATAAGTAATCCCATGTTGGCCCCAGATATACAAAAGTTATATGTAATCCCATACAGATACCATATTATCCCCAGATACACACACAGGTAATCCCATATGGACACCATATTGGCCCCATGTATACAAAAACAGAGTTGTTAACGTGGGTAATCCGATATAGATCCCATATTGGCCCCAGATACACACTCTATACGGTCAGATTATCAATGTAAAAAAGAAGTAAACATTATAT